TATTATTAAGAAGTCAAACAAAACACAACTGTCAAATATCTAATACTGGCTGCTTCTAAGTACATAGCGACATTTCGCCGTGTAAAGGCGTAATGCATATCGTACTAATGTCTAATATAAAATGTCAGCTACCGAAAGCGGAAGTGAGATTTAATTTTGCTAGAAAAATACTGTGATGAGCGCGGCTTGCATTGTTCAAATGGTGCTTGGTGGCGTAACTGGCGTACCACTGTTTCTTTACCTTAAAGTATAATTAGAGCCACCGCTGCAAAAAGAGTCAGAGCCACCGCTGCAAAAAGAGTCTCTACTTATTTAATATATTACACCATCACCGATTACCCCCAACTTTTACTTTTTACTTCAGCTGGCCCGATATATTTTTTTCTGGACTTTTGCGGTTTGACCACCACTGCTCTAGATAGACAGGCAGACTGCAGACCTACCAACTTGGAATTATAACGCCCTATATTAGGAAACGTACCGATACTACGTGGCCCAATTGATGTATTATTTATTATTATTAGCGGGGGCTAAAAATCTAAGTCTAAGGGGAAGGGGTTCTCCTTTGATTTTGCGTAGTAATTCATGAACATGGTGTTAAATATTTTTTTTCACACAGAAAAAAAAATTGACGCATATTTGTCTTTGTTACCTAACTAATATGGCGTAATGCCTTTTGAAATCCAAAAAATCAAGATAGACATAAATTGTTAATACAAAACAACTCTTGAATGCTCTTACATTTATCTCAGCTCTTCTACACTTTTCGCTGTGAAGAAATGGCGTAAGTTGAACACTCACAAAAAGCACCATCGTACTTGTCACAGTGTCCTTACAGAACGTTATTAAAATTGCAGGGGTTTAATAAAAAAACGAAAACGAGGATTCCTTTTTGAAGAGAAAACAGTTTACATACTGAAAGGACTTACTGAAAAGAGACATTTCATTTTATTTGAGCCATTCAACCATACCAATTCTATTGCAGTCAGGATTTGATTGGCGTGCAGTCCAAGCGTATCTTAGCCACATAGGTAGACACTAAAGTTTTCGAAAGTATGCCGGGTGTCTGTAAACTTTCACTAATAACTTGATCACACGTATGGAGCAAACGCGAGACAGTGCTCTCGGCCGGGTACTCGGTACGTATAAACATAGCGCCGAGTGCTCAGTCGTGCGCTTTACATGAGTTTTTAACTTGCATGACTGTCTCGGCCGAGAAACATTTTACTGTCTCGCCCGTTTATTCGGTACGTGTGATCAAAGCATATGTATTTACACGGAAAAGTCAGCGGCCGCTGCACTTTATATTATTGTTACACTCCTGGTTCATCAGATAAGACTAGAGAATTAACCAACTAAATTCGATAAAATAATTCTAAGCAGCGTTTTATCTTGCGGGGGCTCTTTTTCATTCGGCGACAACAATTAGCTTATGCAAGGCATATCTTATAAAAAGTAATCCATTAAATCATAATGATAATAAATTACAATTTATCTATCCGATTCGCTGTCCTTTGATTAATTTAAAGGTATCACTTATACAATATCTTACTGTTATAGGTAACCTTCTTGTTTCTGTGTCACAACAAACAAGAGACCTTATTGTCTGTTCAAAGGAGATATTGACACTATAACAAAATTGTAGATAAATGATAAAAAGTATAATTAAGTCATCTTAGATATTATTTTAAATATTTTTCAGTAAAATATTAACGAATAGTAGTTCACGCGAATGGCGACTTTAGTTTGTGTTTTAAGGCAATAATTTAATTTTAAATAATTATTAAGGTTTGGAAATAACCACTTTTGAATGGGAATGAAAAAAATAACTCCTTCTGTTTGGGACAATTTGGAAATATCCCTATTTGCTTAAAACAATTTGGGCAATATCTTTTTTTTTTGTAGTTATAATTTAATGTACAGTTAGTAGTTGAATAAAATAAAAAATATTATAATTTTATCAACATCAATTTATTGTACCACCTCTTCGGCTTCTATTGTATTATTTTCATTTCTTAAATTGTTTTATACCATCAATTCTGGCAGGCGGTGCCAATCACTTCCAGTCGTTTAGTAACCATTCTTCTTTTTACCCGACTGCGCAATGCAAGAGCGCGAAGCGCGACGCGCAGACAGGGTATAGTGTTTAACAGTCTAAGATATGATAATAATCAAAAATCAATACGGAGAAAACTGGGCGCCATATTGTGAGAAAGAAAAAAAAATAAGTTGCCGAAATATGTTGAGTGGGGTATCATTGTCTAGTTAATCAAAAATCATTAGGTTTCTTACACCATTTTTCATTTTATATGATTGTTTAGGATCTACAACGATTTAAAGTTGTATATTAACCACTTGCGTTTTTAATTTCAATCTTACGTTTGTATGGATCTTTGTAACGCTTTCAATCAAAAAATACTAAATGGATTTTAATCGAGCTAACCAATGATAAAGCTCATACATAATAATAGCATATAGATTATAATTTATGTTGTTATTTGGTGAATTGGCCAAAATATAACATTAAGTGTCACGTGAGTGAGACGGAAAAAAACTCCCATCTGCGAGCCATTTTGGCCTGCACTGCAAATACAATAAAAGTTACATGATTATAATGTACGGTGGAATTGTATCTCTTATATAGTTCTACAAAAAAATCCAGGACATTAGCTATTCAAGGATGGATCAAATTTTTTCAACAATGGGTCCCGACTGTTAAAGTAGCTTTGTTCCTTACTTAACAGAATTATAGACTACTGGACTTGTTTTTTTCTTTTCAGTTTTTATTTTAAGTAATATTTAAGCAGTCGGGGTTTTTGATTTTTTAAATTTACCTTTTTTTTAAAGTCTCGTTATAAAAGCGGTTGTTCATTTTATAACAACACACAATAACGAGAAAGAAAATGTCTGTTTTAAATTGAAACGTAGGATTTTTATCTCCTTTTGATTTTAATCTGATGGAAATATTCCTCTTTGAACAAAACAATCATTTGGAAATAGCGCTTACAGATGCAGTTTGAAAAGCACCGATGATTTAAACCAATCCAGATTACAGATTTATAAAAAAAATATATATATGGAAAGTGTGAAATATCTCCTTTTGGTCAGACACTCCTCTCCAATGAAGGCGTAGGGTGCGGCCAGAGTGCACTCAGATTCAGATTCTGAAAACAAGCGCGAGAAATAAACAGTGTAGTCTAAGCAGGTTGCCTGCTTTTTCTCGCGCTTTGTTTTCTGAGTCTGAATCTGAATCTGAATCAGGAGTGCAATTTGGCCGTACCCTTCGACTACACTGTTTATTTCTCGCGTTTATTTTCGAAATCTGAATCTGAATCTGAGTGCACTCTGGCCGCACCCGTACCTCGTATTCGATATTCAGATACCTAATGCGCTTATGTGCTTACCACACGCACAAGCTTCACCACAGTTTGGCCTGCGCAAGCATCTCGCACGAAAAAACTGTACACTTTGTGCGTTACCACACGGCACAGGTAAGTACGCGCAAGCCTCATTCTTATCGAAATCATTGGCGTGGAAACAATGTTTTCTAATGAAGAAACATTTCTTATGCTACTATTTTTCAAGTGTTTGCTATTAAAAAAAACATGTAAAAACGATAGGATATGTACATAATATGTGCAAGTAGGTAGGTAGTAGGTATTAGGCATAGGTATTTAGTTGCAAAAATTATGTTCTTACCTCTTTCATTTTATTAATCATTCTTTCGTAGGCGTCGTTCTTTTTATTTCGGTCGGAATAATCTTTAGATTTAATTTTCCAGAGTGCAGGCAGAGATTTGTATAAACAAATTAATTCAGACGTGAATTCGCGATTGTACGTACGCAAAGCTGCCATTTTTGAGTGACGATGACGAACGACCTCATGAAACGACGAGCGAGCCTCGACACAAAGTACACTCGACTGTGGCTTGAACACTGAACGCCCAACCACACGCACAGAGAAGTACGCGCAGGCCGGGCTTGCGCAGGCAAAATTTCAAGCAAGTCGAAAAGTGCGCAGGCCGCGCTGTGGGGTTGGCGCGTGATACAGTTTTACCAACTACACGCACCGTGTTCCGTGTACAAACCGGCCTGCGCAGGCAAAACTGTGGTGAAGCTCGTGCGTGTGGTAGGCCCATTACCACACGCACAAGCTTCACCACAGTTTGACCTGCGCAAGCATCTCGCACGAAAAAACTGTACACTTTGTGCGTTACCACACGGCACAGTTAAGTACGCGCAAGCCTCATTCTTATCGAAATCATTGGCGTGGAAACAATGTTTCCTAATGAAGAAACATTTCTTATGCTACTATTTTTCAAGTGTTTGCTATTAAAAAGAACATGTAAAAACGATAGGATATGTACATAATATGTGCAAGTAGTTGGTAGTAGGTATTAGGCATAGGTATTTAATTGCAAAAATTATGTTCTTACCTCTTTCATTTTATTTATCATTATTTCGTAAGTGTCGTTCTTTTTATTTCGGTCGGAATAATCTTTAGATTTAATTTTCCAGAGTGCAGGCAGAGATTTGTATAAACTAATTAATTCACACGTGAATTCGCGATTGTACGTACGCAAATCTGCCATTTTTGAGTGACGATGACGAACGACCTCATGAAACGACGAGCGAGCCTCGACTCAAAATACACTCGACTGTGGCTTGAACACTGAACGCCCAACCACACGCACAGACAAGTACGCGGAGGCCGGGCTTGCGCAGGCAAAATTTCAAGCAAGTCGAAAAGTGCGCAGGCCGCGCTGTGGGGTTGGCGCGTGATACAGTTTTACCAACTACACGCACCGTGTTCCGTGTACAAACCGGCCTGCGCAGGCAAAACTGTGGTGAAGCTCGTGCGTGTGGTAGGCCCATAACACATCCATTGGTAATACTTACGTTACCTCTGTAATTTGTATTAGTTTTTATATCATTTTCACGGCTAAAGAAAATTAGAAATAAAAAAATCCATATCACTCATTGTTCCATTTTGTGTTTCAGAACCGTCACCCTGGCACCTACGAATAAGAAACCTACAGCCGGTTCCACTGCAAAACTCGGGACCGGCGCCATCGGAAAACCTTCATCACAAATTGGAAAAACATCATCTCTCGCGAACAGCAGTAAGCAGACCAATATCTACAGCTCTGGAAAAAGTGCTAAACCAACAGGTGCCGATAAGACCGCCAGCTTCTTTGGCGCTAGCCCCAACAACAGCTACTTTGGGTCTAGTGGAAAGAGCAATAAAACAAACAGCGACACATATGGTAGTTATTCTGTAGCCACCGGAAAGAGTAGTAACGTATTCGGCACGAGCGCAAAAGCAAACAGTATTTCGGAATCAAGTGGAAAACAAGCAAGTATAATCGGATCTTCTGAAAAAAGCTACAATAAACCAGTGTCACCGGCATACAGTGCTAAGACCGACTCCAGTTTGTCATCAAATGCTAAAAATAGTAATGTTCTGGGTACAACTGGAAAATATTCGAATGCTGTTACACCATCTCCCGTTAAAAATGAAAGCAAACCAATTTTTAGTAGTAAACCCGAAAATAATTCTCTGAATGCAGCCAAAAGCAGTAATGTGTTCGGTTCCAGTGGAAAATATTCTAATACTCCAGCAAAAAAAGATGGCATGCTATCTTCAACTGGTTTAGCTGCAAACATATTGCTGTCGAGTGGAACAAATAGCAATAAATTGGGATCTTCAGGAAATTACTCGAATGTTGGATCCTCCACCAAAAAGGATGGAATGGCAACATCTACTGGTAAAGCTGCCAATGTGTTATTCACGAGTGGGACAAGCAGCAACGTCATAGGGAGTGGTGCAAAATATCAATCAACTTTCGGAACCTCCATGAAGAATGACGTAATATCGAAACCGGCGCCTGGTAAAGCTGGAAGTATGTTAATGCCAAATGAAAAACTTAGTAACGCATCCAAATATAACCTCAAAGAGAATAAGTCAGCAGCGTCAACGGGCATGAATTCAAACGTGCATGATCCCTTCAAATTGTATCCCTCCTTCATAAAACCGAAGGAAAGCAAATCCTCGACTAGGCTTGGTATCTTATGGCTCCCATTAAGAAAACGTAATAAGAAAAAGGATATGGTACATCATTCTCACAACTATGAAAACTACAATAGAGCACCATCTATGCATAATTTGTAAGTATCTCAATTTCAGTACCTCTTTCTACTTTAAATTTTACTAACTTCAAACACATAGCACAAAGCGATATTTTGTCATACTACTACTGCGTCATTATTATTGCAGTAGTGGTGTCGATTCTGGCAGGACTCTCTAAAGCTAAACTTAAATTTGTACCCCTGTTATTCTCTATACAGAATGAAAAGGCCAGACTGATGTTAAATTTAGAGATTCCTGCCAGAATCGACACCAGTGTGTAACTTCATAAGCCGTTCTAATACATACCTATTGTTCCAAAACAAATATCTCAAAAGTGATAAAAACGCGCCTATGTAGCCAATGGTGTCGATTCTGGCAGGATTCTCTAAACTTATAACTAAATTTAACATCAGTCTGTCCTTTTCATTTTGTATAGAGAATGACAAGGATACACTGTTGTCAAAATTAAGGGGTTTTTGGCGGGATTTCATCGAGTGCGGTTGGCGTCTTATTTTAATTATTCTTAAATTCGTTCATAGTGGATATTGTGAAATAAAATTGGTGTGGTTTTGTGTAACAACTGTCTGCGTAACTGAAGAATTAATGGAATCATTAAAATATACGCTATTGCGGTCAAGTGGACGTTAGAATTTTATTGTAGTGTTGACTACCTCACAGAAGCTTATCGAAAAAGCCAACTCGATACATTTCGTGCCAAACACTCCAAGAAACATTAGAATGCGTCACACCGACATTCTAATGTAAAAACAAAAAGAAGCTTAATTTACTGAAAAACCAGACTGTATGGGCATTGTTCCCTTTGCCTTCCCTAAAACGGGAGAACTTCAACAAAAAAAATGTTGTCAAATTTAAAGAATCATGCCAGAATCGACACCAATATCGGATGAATGAGGGCTATCGCGTATGAATCCGCCGCTAGAGGCGCTAGTGTAGCGTGAGGTCTCCGAAATGTCAAATGTTATTGCTTGTTGGTTGACTACACGGGTTTATTTCTTATTAAAATAATGTTGTGAATAATTGGTAACAAATCGGCTTAATTATGGCAAATATGAGTTATGTGGCAATGAATGTCAGTTATTAAAAATTTGAGCTTAGAAAAATGATTTCCGAATAAAACGGAACTGCGCGTCACTGTGGCATGGCCTATTATGTTTAGGATATGGTTCTTTTGTGTTAAAATACGATCTAAATGTAACCTTTGATTTCATGTGCGTATTAATAAACTTTAAAAGTTACAATTTAGGACCTCACTCAACAGTGGCGCCATCTGGTGAAGCAGAAAACGGTAGCCCTCATTGTTGCGATATCTTTTTTAAGTACATTATTTAATAGAACGGCTACGAAGTTACACACTGCAACGGTATTAAGAATGTTGATTTAGTGACTTTTCGCTCTATGGCAACGATCGGAAATATGGTGAAGATACCACACGATATCGGCTATTGGCGTCCGATGCCGATATCGGATCGGGTTGTGTAAACGCTGTCACTCAGTGTTTTTAGGGACACGATATCGAAAAGAAAGTATTGATACCGTAGTCATGAGTAGTATCGGAAAAAAAGTATCGTACTCGTAAAAGTATTGAAACAAAAGTATCGATACTTCGAAGTATCGAGTACATTTCATAGGGCCATGAGCAACCCCCCCCCCCCCTCCCCTCCGTTAAAAGAAAAACAATCAAATTTTATTATAATTAAAAACATAAAAAGGACATGTTAATTCACAAATTTCTATATTATGTAGATACTCTTAAAAATGTGTAATGTTAATATAATCAACTACAAAACTAACCGTGCGTAATCAAGTACGTAAGTCTCAGGATACACTATATTGCTTGTGCTTTCAATTATATCAAAGCAAAGGAATGTTTTAGAAGGTTTGCTATGATTCCATTAGATGGCGTTGCCATCAATATAAGGCTCTTATCCAAAATTTTAATGGTATCGATACTTGCCAAAAAGTACTCATTTAGTTGAAGTATCGAAAACCAAGTATCGGGTACAAAAGTATCGGTATCGAAAGGAAAAGTACTCGATACCACAAAGTATCGATACTTTTTTCGTGTCCCTAAGTGTTTTCTCTGCGGTGCGTGTTTTCTGTCAGTCAGTGTAGTGTAGTCAAAGCAAAACTTTTTGGTCACTCTTTTATTTTTTTCCGTCAGTATGCAAGAGAATAATAATTTTGAAACTATTATCAGCACTTGGCGACGTTTATCTGGCGAACAAATAGAATCTCCGGGTTCAGTAAGGTTAATTCCATTGTCAATATTACTATTATTTTGTGTAAAGAAATTCAACCTTTATTCTCCATTGTTTACATTTGGTATGGTGTTGATGTTTACAGTGTAATGATCATTAAAAGAAGTGTTGTGTTGCGATAGTCTTTTCTTGGAACGAATGCTCACGATTTTCGTTCAATCCCCACAAGTGCTTACATTTTTTTACATAAATAAATTTTATTTGTAAACTGTTTCAGCATGTCTGGTGATTCTTCCGAATACCAGTCAAATAAAAAGAAGGAAGAAGAATCATTGCTAGTTCCGGAACGAGCGAAACTCACTTCAGTGGCTGTAAATACTGGAATCACTGCAGCTAGCATTGATATGCCACCTGATGGCTTAAATTCTGCAAATCCAGAAGAGAAACAAGAATTCATAAAACATGACTCGGAAGAGAGCAAGGTAATAAATAATACTAATAGTGTCATCTTATACTAACTAGGTACTCTAGACAGTTTAAGAAAAATCATTCAAAGAACATTTGCTTGCCCACAAAACAAAGTTATTTATCTCAAAAGAAATTAATCTACCCAAGCATTTAGCTTTTTGTTATTTGTACATACTAACTTATAGCTTAGCAGTTTTTCACCATGTAAGAAAATAATTTCAATTTAAAGTAAGTAGGCCAAGTCTGTAGTAAATCTTGATTTTACTACTGCATATCAGATTGTTCAACAGCAAACATTTTGGCCTACCATAACTGCACATGCATAGAATTTTTAAATTGATTGTTTTAGTTTGATTATTATTAACTTTAGAGTGACCAGTCTCCATCCAGGGACTTTATTTTGGTAAGAAATCTAGTATGTAGAATATTATATTTAGATATGGGTACACTTTTGCACTTTATTAAGAAGATGTATTTTCAATGCTTGTGTTTATTTTTGCAGGAAGCTGCTGGTGACACCAATGAAGGCAGCAAGATTGATAAGGACTTTTTAGAAAATAATGATAATTTAGAAAAGAAACCACAAGAAAACAAGTGGAATAAGGAAAAACAAGGTGATCTAGTAGATAGTGTGTACTTAAGGCCTCCTCCACCTCACAAAGCGAGATCTGCGACATCTACAAATGAAGATGAAGGTTGTGGTATGAAATGTCTTTATTATACATTGCAGTGTTGCGACTGTATACTAATGTAGATTGCCATAAACAGTACCTTCAAAAATGCCACTAGGATAAGTTTACTATGTATTCATGGCATTATATACCATGTTTTTCTAAAGCCTTTTTACCTCATTCTCTACCAGTAATCATAATAATATTTTTGTGATATTACTATATTCTGTCTTCGTTTACTTTATTCCAGAAATTTGCAATATTTTGTGTGTTTAGAATTATAACAACAACAACATGAACAACCAAGAAAATGTAGTAAAATTAGTGTTACAACAGGTATCATATTTTTTTGTATTTTTCTTTAATGAATTATCTACATGCTTCTGTAACTTCAGTACCTATGCAAAATTTTCAATACTTACATTGTTCATTATGCACAAATGTTCTTTACAGAGTATATTATTTTCTTTATATCTTAATTTACATTCAATTTTTATGGTTTTTCTCTCCATAAAAACCTTCCGTGTGCCTTAATTAACATATGAAAATAAAATGGCTGAATTGTTCCAGTCATTCTTTAGTTTAGCGCTTAGCAACATTTATTTTTATTTATATAGATTTTGCAAATTAATGATTCTGATTATAAGTTGACATATCTTTTTTATTATTATTTTTGCTTTAGAAAATCTAAAATGAACATAGCATTACATTATTAAAAAGCCAATTAACCGCTATGCCAGTATTAGAATATACAGAAGTACTTGGGATTACTAATAGATTCTATATTATGATTATACTATAAATTAAGATTTATAATTATTTATTGCTTGCCTTTTGATACAAAGGTTTCAGCATTTTGTGACTAAGCAGATCTCAAATCATTTATATGGTGTCAAAATCTTATTGTGAAGTGATAAGGAATTATCATATTAGTTTTGGATGAATTTACATGGATATACATATCTACTCTAGCTTTAGACAATTACATTCCACACTACATGTTTTTATATGAAATAAGTCATTTATATTAACTGAGATTAGGTGAAATTTAATAAACTTTCATAAAAGGTGCTTTGAGATTCTCTTGTATCAACAGCCTTCCTGATTAACATTGTAATTTTGAAATTTAGCTTTACATAAGTTTGATTATTATTAACTTTAGAGTGACCAGTCTCCATCCAGAGACTTTATTTTGGTAAGACATCTAGTATGTAGAATATTATATTTAGATATGGGTACGCTTTTGTACTTTATTAAAAAGATGTATTTTCAATGGTTGTTTTATTTAGTTGGCAAATAAAGTAACAGCTTAAAAATAAGCAAATTATTAAGTTGCTTTTTACATTTGCACAATGTTAAAAATAAAAAATGTAACAAATAATTTATTAACCTTATTTGCTGGATCCACAATGGATACAGATATTTTTAATATCATTAGCAGAACAGAACAGAACAAAGGGCAGTGGCTAAGGTTTGGTAATTATTGTCGTTAGAAGCTGAAGTTAACGAGTCTAATTTGTGATGTCCTTTGGCCTCCACCCACAGAACACAGACACAGGCCTACGCCTATTCGCTAACTGCTTTTGACAGATGAAAGTACCGAGAATAGGAGGTCCATTGATTGAATAGAGCACTGATTACCTTCAAAATCGTAAGTACCAGGTCAAGGTTAGCTGACATATACATAAAGAAACTAAAAAAAAATGTTGACATCATTAATTGGACCACCCTGTATAGTGACACAAAAACGTTTACTTAAGGTACCGCTCAAGGGTCAGTTCTTGGTCCTTTGCATTATTTATCCTTTTTTTTGTTTTTTAACGGTGGGAAATGCATTACGCATACCCCGTGCTTTGGGTTGCACGGGGTTATGTCGACTCTCCGCGGCTTCTGGGAGCAGACAGAATACCCCCCAGAAGATGCCGTACCGCGGCCTACCGACTAAAACCCACCGATCCTCACATACGCCTTGACGCGAGCATGTTCGTCACCGACGCATCCTCATCGTCTTCCGACGAGGACGATGTCTTCCGACGAGGGACGCGTCGCTGCCGGACAAGGTCATGGGAACTCGCGAGATCACATCCACGACCTTGTCGGCGCACAGTGGTCTGAAAATCGAGCTCCATACTCCTAGAAACTTAATGTCTGATATTAATAAAAAAAAAAGTTTTGTATTTAGTGTACCTCCCTCTATTTAATATTATAGTATGAAGGGTATGAGTAGTACCACGCCTGAGAAAAAAAAAAGTTTTTTTTTGTATGGGAGAAATCACTTAAAGTGCATTTTTTTTAAACTGAATAGAACTGAAAGGCTGGTACTCATATGAGCTATTGCACCTTACACGGCGAACAAGATGACATATAACACTTGTGCCTTTCGATGCCGCTTTGCATGTAGCAACCTTTGAAAATTTGGAATTTTCAGTATATAATTTTTCAAATCTTTAACGTAATTAAATGAAGTAACCGACTATATTACTGACATTGTCGTTAGTTAATGACCTATTAAAGACCTTTAATAGTGATAATAACGGAAAAAAGATTTTGTATGTTTTCTTACTTTCAATTTTATTCAATCAAGTAACTCATTTGGTAATTACTCTCATTATTGTTGAGTTTTAATTAGCTACTTATAACATAATCATTAATGGGGCAACAAGCTTAATGAGGGTAGTTACATATAAATAGGGTGATTTGGCTAACTTCACTTTCTGCACTTGTGCGCGCTTACTATACTTATTAAGTTCGATTTTTCCCATAATATAATGGAAGGTTTTGGTACCAATTTAGATATTTTCATGTTTGTTGCAAACAATAGCTGTTTCTCACAGCCCAGTGTGTTATTTGAAGTTTTCGAAATTGCCTTTGATTTGACCGCGAATGAAAATAAAGAATTGAAACAATTCTGCCAGACTTTTTAGTGTTCTTTGAGGAATAAATGGATCACATGCAATCGTACGAGACACACATTCATAAAGAAGTATGAGACATGGCTGCAAGAAGTCATAAAATGGCCCGAGTTCATGAAGGAAAAGATGACAAATTCTTTAGGGTCTGTAATGCAACAACCATGTTCGAGTTCTAACTTCGGTATAAATGAGGGTGCATCAACATCCTACAAACCGGAGAGATGCAGTGTTGGAACATCAACATCATTTGCGAGTCAGAGAAAAGCGTTTACTGAGCTAAGCCCACTACAGAAGAGAAGAAGAGTGGACGAGTTCCTAAAGCACAGCACTGAAAGCCTTACTTATGCAAGTGGCTTAAGTGCAGAAAACAAGAATGTAGCAGATATAATAAAATTAGTCACTGAGCATCCTGAAGAGGCTACAAAGATAAAGGATTTATTGAAGTCCAAGAAAACTGTACCCATATATTCGCCGATGAAGCTTTAGGTTTAATGACCTCGTTGAAACTTTCTAAGTGGTAGTATACATACTCTACGCTTAGTTTGTGGCGAAGAAAACATATGGGAGAATCCAAAGCGATCATCCACAATGTTCTGCAGGCCACTCTATTTCATTTTTGTTAATGAAAATAATTTGAATATTACGGAAGAACAGGCTTTGGTTGAAGCTGAGATTACAGCACTGGAACCGTCACCTTCGGAAATGAATATGTTAGAGAAGATCTCAGAGTGAGTTTTGAATAGATTGATAAAATAATTGCAGCTTGCTAATGTATCTTTTTATTAATTAATTTACTTTCTTTCCAGGAAACCTGTCTCAACGGAAATATATCAATATGGTTTATCTACACTTCATGCTTGGGTCAGGAGTATGGATTGTCTAATCCATATTTCGTATAGACTGGACTTCAAAACATGGCAAGCCAAAGATCCAAGTAGCAAAGACTCATTGAAAGGTAGAAAATTAATTATACAGCAGAAGTTCCGTGATGAAATGGGCCTTCTAGTAGACATTGTTAAGCAAGGTGAGTTAAAGTAATAGACGTTGTTCTTAAACCTTATTTATTCAAATGACACAAGTTATTTTATTTGAAAAGCTGTTGCTTTTTTATTTCAGGTTCCGGAAACACAAATGATGGAAACACAGCGAGGAAATTTTATGTGATCTTGCCAATACTGCAGCTATCACAGGTTTGGATTCCAGTTTGATCCAAAGATTTGCAACACTTTTGCGTGGGATAGCCTGTGGAGGGCCCATAAATGTTGAGGCATTTAAAATTTTTGCACGCCACACTGCAGAAATGTACGTGGAGCTCTATGGCTGGTTCCACATGCCTACGAGTGTCCACAAGCTTTTATTGCATGGTGCTGAAGTTATTGAACATCAATATTATGCGTATTGGCAAATTATCTGAAGAGACATCGGAAGCCAGAAAATAGACTTAAAGAAAATCCGAGAACATCACTCGCGCAAATTTAGTAGAAAAGCGACAAAAGAAGACACTTTCAATGAGGAGACCATTGTCTCGTCAGATCCTTATTTGTCCGGCATAAGACCTGTGCTGAGAAAATCTGTAAACACAGCTATTACTGATGATATGAAACCTCTTCTCATTAGTGACGATGCAGACAGAGAGAACATTGAATTTGTCGATGTTAATGCGTCAATGCTGGACTCGGATTTAGAGGATTTTGATGATGACGAAGATACTCTCTCATAAAAGTTTTTGTATAAAGTTATTATTGCTGTTGTAAATAATATAATCAATACATATAAATATATAATTAGCTGTAGATAGTTGTAATAGTCTTAAATGAACCCTAGTATATTTACATTATTTGTAAATATCAAAACTAAATTATTTTCGACTAGCTTTTGCCCGCGACTTCGTCCGCGTTATCGTCGTTTTTCGTAAAAAAAGTAGCATATGTCCTTCCTCAGGGTTCCGTGGTTTTGATGTGACAGACAGATTAACTTTCGTATTTTAGTAGGGAAATATAATACTGTTAAAAATATCGCAATAAGGAACCGCAGAATATTATTATTATCACTGTGCCCCGAGACCATCAGCGTGTAACTCCTTGTATGTTATTATGTTAATGTATTGGTAATATTGTTTAGATCGCTTTTACATGAGTCTTAAGTACATATAGAATGAAAATACTTCAGCGCAAAGCTTCCGGGTAGACTACGTTGAAATTTGACCCGTCCGGAACGTGAACATAAAAAATTCTAGGACTGCTAACCCGGGAAAGACCGACATAACTGATCATGTGAAAAACAACTGACACCGAGATCTACTCCAACAACACGAAAGGTCTGCCCTTGAGCCTTATTTATTGTCATTGCATAACACACTTGCGTTCTTTTAAATTGGAATGGAAAATTATTTGGTATTATGGGAATTCTGGGAATAAAGATGGTTTCTCCTGCACCGCAACCTATTAAAATTTGAGCCTCGATTACATTTTGTTGCAACTGGGTTACTTTAAGCCGAGTTCCATTGCAAATTTGTGGTGGTCTTAAATTTCGGAGCAGAATAATCGGAATGCCAATTTTTAAACAAATTTCATGAGAAGGAAGTACCTACATATTTAAAGAATTTAAAAATTCTATCGGGTAATTAGTAGCTTCTTGTTCATCGGCCATTCTATTTATTGAACTATAAACTTTGCTTTTCCCCTGGATATTCGCAGTATTTTATTATTAATCTCAGATGCCTGGTCATTGCGAGGAGTTAAAATGGACCTTTCGCATAGCCAAGAATTGTTCTTATTTAATATATTTGTTACGTCACCGTAAACTGACGATGTAAGATGTTGTTGGGATTGCACTATACAACATAACTCAGGCGTCAGAATAAGTGTTCCTTGGTGTAGCAGTGGATAGGTATCTTTGGTGAAGGTATTTTCTTTAATAATATATCAGAAAATTCACGATCATCCGGGTTATCTACAGTTCCCACTCGCATGTTTATAGTCAAATAAATAGTCAAATGCACCGATTGTATATCACGCCACAAATAAGAGCTTTTCAGGCAAGCCCTAACCTCAGCAGCTCGGGTTCCCCGTGGTATTACCGTTAAGGTTTGTCGGAAATCACCACAAAATAAAACTGTGATACCGCCCATGGGTCGATCATTTTGTCTTATATCTCTTATAGTTCTGTCTACCGCTTCTACTCCTTTTCGATGGGCCATCGTACATTCATCCTATATGATTAAATTACACTTTGAACGAATATTTAAACACTACCAAAACAACTAATACGTGGTCCTAACTTTAGCTACCTTACACATAAAATCTAAGTGACTATTTGAATTAAAATATTCTTATAGAATTATAATCAGAAATATATACAACTCACAACAAAAAAGAAATGAAAATAAAGCTGAAACGCCTGTGCAATACTATCTACCTATACCTCCTTCACTTAAAAATAAATACTTATAACTACTTTAATTAATAAAAGTACCTACGCTTAATAATTTTTAATTTGAACGAATATTTAAACACTACCAAAACAACTAATACCTGTTTTACAAAATAACAACAAAAGAAATTCAAATAAACTATTTAAAGACTAAAAGTCGCGCTGATAAGCACGGTTTCGGTCTCCCAGGCGGGGGAGCAGATGAGAAATCCTCATGGATACCCTACAGCCGGCTGCAAGGTTATGTCAGACTCGTACTGACTAAAAAACACCCGTAGGGGCTGCCTCTGGCCGGGAAGGCCTCTAAGGCTTCATCGGAAGCGATCGTCCCCCAGGGGGGGAGCGACGCAGAAAACAGATTTAGACAGCTCGCTCTCGGACCTTTGATACCCTACCGCTGCCGCGACCCGTGTCGAGCGCGGCAACCGTTACACAAAAATAATCCTTATAGCATGATTCAGTATTCACGTGCGACGGTGTGATGGCTTATTTCATGTATAAGTTTGGTGTTTCTATACCGAGTATTATAAACGTAAGAGTAAACAAATATGATCAGAATGCTCCGAACTGCTAAGCTATCAGGAGTTACACGTGTTATTGTGAGTCAACCATAAAAGATAGACATATGCTGTTGCGAGATATTTTTTAGACAATTTTATGTAGAATATTTCCGTCATACATGATTTCTATGTAACTTTAACCATTAAGGCTGCACAC